TATATGTGTGTGTGAAGGTTAATTATATGAAGCAAACTTGAACGAAGGTCAAGTCGGATGGTGAAAAAAATAAAAATGGCTTGAGGCGTGATATATTATTATTTCAAAAGAGTAATGTCTGCATTTTCGGATAACAAACAATACTTTCTTGGAATATAACAAATTTCTTATCAGTTGTCTAAAGTGTCTGACTTGATTAGCTTTTTTTTTTTAAAATAACATTCTTCCATAGAAAACATTAACAGTTAATTTTGTTTGAAATTATAAACTTTCATAACAATTAAACCTTTTAGCACAGATATAACCCTTTTGTAAATTAACTGCAAAACAATTGGAGTTAAAACATAAAATAAAATATAAACTGACAAGAGTTACTCTAATAACCACACCACACGTTCAATATGGAACTCTTAGGTGATGTTTAGTTGGGGTAGCGGAAATTAAATGTTATTAATATGACGTTTGGTTTCACTTTTTCTTTTCATATAAGACTCGCAAATATTATTTTATACGGTGTTTGGTTTCTTTTTTATTTTTTTGCATAACTAATACCTGCATAAGTATATAAAAATTTATATATTATGTTATGTGAGATATAATGTGAAATAAGAATGCACGGATTGGTTACATGGATTAAAACTATTACCTTTAGTGTAGTAACAAAACATAGTTGAAATTATACACTATATAATTACTTTTTAATGCAACAAAACCAAACATCCAACAATAAACAATTCCTATAATACAATTTATATATTATGATCAGATATTACAATCTCTGTATTACTAATCTCTGCTTAACTATCATCTAACAAAACCATCCTTAAAGTCTCCATTATTTTGACTTGTATATTAGAAGCTACAACAGATTAACCAATGAAACAATGATCTAATAATCCCAGATGCTTTCAGAAAGAGGATGGTAGCTTAAATATTCATACATAAACGGATCTGGCACTTCACTGGTAAGAGTTGGTAAGCTATTGATTTGGTTTTTGAAGTCATAAGCATTAGTCACTGGTTGCTGCTGTGTATTAGTGGGACAATAATCTTGCAAATAGAATCTATTAGTGCCATTAATTGAAGCCGCTTCAAGTGGAGAAACGTCATTTGGTGAACTGGAAAAGCAAAGCATTTTAAAAGTATCATCATCCAAAAGCTTGATGTTTTGGCCATTTTGGAACGCTGTTTTTACCAGCTCCATAGCATAAGCCTATCAACAGATCATAAAGTAGGGAAATAAATTTTTTTTTTTAAAAACACATGCTCATGGAAGCAATTAAACAGTGAAAAGGCAAATGAAAAAAAGTTAAAAATTAGAACCTTTTGAGTTCCAGAGAGATTCTCAACTGACACCAAGTGACCCTCTTGGTAAACTCCAATCACTTCTCCCACATCAGTAAATACCACTGATTTCACATTTTGCTGGGAATTATGGACAGAAGGATACACGTATCTTTTCAAGTCAAGTTTACTCTTTGCCTTATTAACTGCTGCATCCAATTTCTCGGCGTGCATACTCCTGCCAAGGATCTTTAGATATGCAAATGTTTTGAGTATCACTTAACAGTCGACACATAAAAAAAGTGAAATATATAGTTTAAACAGAGAGATTCTGTTCTAATATAACCATCATAATTAATGGCCTTAAAACAATGGCAATAGAAAGACAAAATAAAAAAAAAAAGCAGGAAGTATCATAACTGATAAGTTAAAAAAATTACACAAAAAGAAAAATTAACCTACCAGCAGATAAAACGAAGCAATTGTAACTTCATATATATCCGATCAGAATTATTTCATTGGGTTCAATCCATAGACGCTACAGCTTGAACTGCCTCGCCAAGAGACGGGACGTGCGGAAAAATTAGGGAGCTGAGACATAATTTGCCTCCTCTCCCATACAATATACGTTTAACTACTTCAGCAACTACGAACTGATCCACTTACCTGGACGGGGTCAATGGGCGATCAATAAAGCCTAGGCCTCCATTGCATTTTGGAGGGGTGTCTGACTAAGGTCGGCCCAAATTGTCATAATTTGTGGCAACGGAGACTAGCGTAACGTGTGGCCCCTTATAAAAAGAAAAAAAACACGTACCGGTCCAATTACTTAATTTTAACGTCCACATTAGTTATGGATAGAATCGGCAACGGTACTATCAGGAAATTTTTCTTTTGATGAACCTTCATCAAAAAGAGATATATGGAATACGTTCATATCGAATTTTAATTTATACTAAGCCGTAAAATTAAATTTATGGAAAGAGTAGTTTAATTTCGTGGTGCATAAGAAAGTGGTATATATGTTGTTGAAGTGATTGCAAGGGAATAAATAAATTCTTACACAGAGTAGCTTTTCACGGCTCAAAAAGTATTGAGTTAACAAGTCCCTGACAGTCTTAATGCTCTCCTTCATCAAACGGGTATGGAAAGGACCGCCTTTGCCAATTGTTTGCATTTTCCATACTTCAACTTCAAGAGTTAAGGGCCTCTGGCTCTTGCTCACTGCAAAATTGTTATACATGTAACAATATTTTCTCTAATTTATTTATTATTCAGAAAGCAGAAAAGTCATTGAACCACATGTAGGCTGTAGCAACCAAACCTATGACATATGTATTGTCCATTTTAATTAATCCAACAAATTCATCAAACCCAAAAGCGTGCTTGTGAAGTACTTGTGACCTGTCTAATTAATATAGAATCTCATTTTTTCTCTCTTTAGATTTGCCTTAGGTATCATATATATAGGTATATTTTTGTAATAAGGTTGCAAACCTGGAAGCTTGTTAGTACTTTTCCTGACCTCTTCTCCAATGGGGCCATCGATCATAAAAAATCTGAACCCCATCAGTCTCATACTCTGCCCCACTTAGACAAACAATAATTGATACACAAATTCATTGCAGGACTTATTATACATATGTAATTACCTAGCAGGCTAGCTTATTGGCATACAAATTAAATTAAATTCAATGAAATAGAATTAGGGGAATCTTAAAGGAAAAAGAAACCAATTATAATATGATTGAAAAGGAATTAAATACGTACTAGAACGACGATCCTTCACAAAGAATGGTTGTGTGACTGCTTCCACAATTCTTGTTCCATTGTAAGGATACACAGCTCTTGCACCTAATCTCAACTCACGTTTTCTCATAGACACTCTGCTATGTTTGAATGAAATATGACTTACAGAAATACTTCCATCTTTCAAGGTGACATAAGGATCTCCCCGTATCAGCGATTTGTCACCACCACAACTTCTAAAATCTTTCTCAAGGACAACTATTTCCACCCTTGCTGATGCTTCAGGTCCAGAACTGATGATATTCTGAGTACGAGGGTCAATTAAATGTAGATTTAAGGTACTGCCCTCTTCACCTATGGGGATTCCAGTAAAAATTGGACCATTTATGTTGTTTGAAAACTTCAATTCTAAATGTCGTGAATCATACGATTGATCAGAAGGATTTAAATTTTCCTGCGCTTTCCTGAATAAGATGTACAAATATCGATATCATATGGACAGCAATAAAAATAACAGCAGCAAAGGTACAACAAATAACTATGAAATATAAAAAGAGGCGCGTTTATCATGCCTTGGGCCGATTGAAATCTTCACAGGTCCCGGTTCAACACCTGCAGCCTGTAGTTGCACAAAGAATTTAGATGACCATCGTAAAAGTCTTTATGTCAAGAGCTTAATTTTACTAGACGGTGTAAAAAATATTTATACTATTTGATTTCCTAAAAGATATTTACAAAGAATTGTTCATAAGAAATTAGCAACATAATAATTACATGCTACAATAGGTTAAACTACAATATGTTACTGTAAAACATTTTATATTATTAGTGTAGATAAGTTATTTCCTTATATCAAATAATATAATCTAGGGCACAAACCAGCGTCCTAATTAAAATTTTCAACGTATCGAAATGAAGAGAAGCCATAAAAACCGAAGATTAGTAAATCAGATGACCATCGACACAGGAAAGAGATTAACATTAGAAACTACTGATACCGATGGAGTGAACCAAATTTAAGAAGGTTAAAAAGGAGTAAAAGAACCAATTTCTACACATTAGGCAAATTATGTCATAGAAGTTCCCGTAATTAACAATTCGAAGGTCACTCTCTGAGCCATTAGGGCACTATTAGCTGAAATAAACGTGATCATTTTGGGATGAAACAATAGTATCCCTTGTAACTTTGGTTGAGGTTGAAATAAAAGAACTAAGTAGTCGCCGTAAAAGAAGTCATGAATACCAATTAAACGACCTCTGACCCAAAAAAAAAAAAGAGATTCCTGGTCAAAGATTTTTCAGCATAACAAGAAGTTGCAGTAAAGGGACAAAACATTACATTGACTTGGTGTGGAATTTGCTATAATTCTACTTACTTTCTAAATCTCGACTTAATTCTTTCCTTTTAGCTTCCATTGCTTATTTTGATCATCTCAATATAAATTCTCAACATGTCAATATTATCATCTATAAAAGAAAATCTGAATCAAAGTACACTATTTTTTCAAAAGAAACAAAGCATTGACAATTTTGTTTTTGACTGCAGGAAAAAAAAAAAAAGAAAAAAGTCCTCCAGAAAAAGCTTTGGCTGTCCTTTCCTGGATCGGAGTCGGACAAACCAGACAATCCATTAATTTTGATAGAATGTGATGTTGGTCCACGTTTCTGACAACCAGCGGAAAAAAGTGATTTGAAGACTTTTGCATAACACCAAAATAATGTTAGTCCAATTAGTATATTTTCCAAGCTATTTTAAAGTATTGAGAGAAGCCTATAAGATTTGATTTTGTTTTCACATTAATCACAAGGGGTTGTTAGGATCCTAAGATCCTTTTCTCCAATCTTGAGAACTCAATCAACCATATGACTACAATCTAACAATCCTAACCCTAAATTAATACTTCATCGGTTTTAATTTACGTGAACATGTTTGACTGAGTATGAAATTTAAGAAAACAATGAAGACTTTTGAAATTTGTAGTCCTAAACAAATCAAAAAGGGGCCAGAATATTTATGTGGTTATAAAAGCTTTTCATTAAGGGTAGAATTGTAAGTTTAAGTTAAATTGTTTCCAAATTTAGAAATTGGTCATTCTTTTTTAAACGAACCAAAAAGAAAATAGGTTGACATATGAAGAGTACATAGTATACTAAAAGAAAGAAAAAACTGTGTCATGAAAAGGCACCTTAAAAAGTTCAGGAAACCCTTTTTTAATATCAACCTAAGCACCAAGGCACAAATAAAATAGAAAAAACTGGCAAGCGTATATATAAAACAAAGATATATATATATATTATATATATTTTAATTCAAAAGTTAAAACCTGTAATTATCTAACAAGTACATATGATTAAGTAAATATTTTATACCATCTAAAATATAAACTCAATAAAGAAACCATACAATATACTACTACTCATATAGTTAGTGAAGATGGTACTCACAGCTGGATCAACGCAGAGCCGCCTCATTGACTTCAGTAAACGCACGACTCGCACAGCCATAACAGACCTGTTCAAAGTCCAAAAATGAAGTATAATTAGCACTTAGCAGAACAATTAAGCAGAAGGGGATGAATGAAATAATCAGTTTCTAATGATCTATACAGTTAATCCCGAGAAGACTTGCGCTTCAGATATAAGATAATTGACAACGCTATAAGATTTCTGAAAAATAGATAAAACCAAGAAAAATGAAAAGCAAAGTTAATAAGCAAAAGACCCAGAGAGAAAGATAGTATGAAAGGTCACACACTTTCTTAGTTTGTGGAATTTTCTCTTCCTGTGAAATGAAGCCGAGGCAGGAATAGAAAAACTAGGAGAATTTTCACAGAGATCCATAGCGCATGTGTTTTTCCAAAACTGTATGTGTTTTTGTTCTTTCTAAAACTGTATGTAAGAACCCTAAAATTGAGTAGTTTTTGGTAATGTATTTTTACTACCAGTAGTATTGATTAAAGCGAGGGCTGCTATTTATAGCGAGAAATTTTGCTTAAAAGTTAAGATATCCAAAAGTTTACAAAAATATCCCAGTATCCATGAAAGCGGCACGTAGATGCGTTAGATACCCAAACTTTACGAAGAAACATCAGTGAAGCCGAAATGCAATTTACAAATCTCCTGTAGAGAGTCATTTGAACACCCTCACTTCTTTTATCTTTTTTATCGGATGGTCGGCCAAGGGACAGTCCCCTCTAGCATATTGTCACGTCCTTAGTCGTTAACTAAGTACACGTGTCGCACTTGACAACTCGCTCACCATCATGTACAATTTGCTCACGTTCTTGCGATGCCAAGTCAGTGTTACTACACTCAAGATCGCTAAGAGAATGTTAGAACACAAAAGAATTGTTAAAGGAAGTTTTTGTATTAGAGAGAACTTATTGTACGTTTTGCTTGGTGAGTTACAAATGAATAACTCTTTTATATATTAGTTTCATAGGGGCTAGTGAGTAAATAATAATTATTACACAAGGCCCTTATTATTTACAAATAAGTACACCCTCTAGAATTTTCTACATGACTATAACATTCCAAGGTTTTCCAAAAGAGTCTTCCTACCAAGTCCATAAATATCTAAAGTTTTCCCAAGAAAATTCTCCATAGTTCTAGAATATTCCACCATGAGTTGGTCCCTAACTTATGTAACCCTTCCATATGACAAAATATATGGCATGATGATGTGGCGGGCCATGACATTATACACTTAAAATTAAAACTAGCAAAAGAATTAAATAAACGACGAAAGAGAGAGAAGGGAACAAGAAAAGACATAAAATTAAGTAAATAACAATGACCTAAAGAATATCTTCTCACTTTGATTCAATTTTATATATGGCACACTTTTTCTTTTTTGTTTGTCTGGAAAAAAAAAAAGAATGATACATTCTATAATTAAAAATATTTTAACTTTAAATTTTTCATATTATACTTAATGAGAAAATTTACACATAATTATTTATAGATTTATTTTAGACTATAAATTTTAAAATTCATTCTTTCATTCTTTCTTAAATTTTGGGTTGAGTCAATATCATCACATGAAATGGGACGAATGGAATAATAGGTTAGTATGTAAGAATGGTTGTAAAGAGTTTGATGAAAGCACTTATGACAATCTTCAGCTTACGCATTGAGGTGGAGCATCTTAGAATCTGATGTGAATACCTAATTTTTGTACTATTTTAACACCTCCTAAAGTCATTAGTGTTTTATTGCTTTAATTATATTTCCCAATTTTTTGTGTCTTTGATTGCATATTTCCTATCATAAAAATACCAAAAATAGTTCTTTCTTTATTTGTGCATTTTAGGAATTAACTAACTATTCAATTGGTGAATTAATCTAGTTAATTGATCATTTGAATAAGTTACTTAATTAATTTATTTGTTTGTGTAAATTTAGTTTAATAAGTAGGATTAAGAAAGAAATTGGGCCAAATTTGAAAGAGAAAGTGGCCAAAAGTGCAAGATAAGGGGCTGCCTTTGAAAGGGTCCGGAACGACGTAGTTTTGCCTCAAAACTACGTCGTTTCATTAAGTGACCCAAGATCAAATCTCACCCATTGATCACTCATTGATCTAATGGTCCGTATTTGATCTCTCAAGAGGTATTTAAAACCTCAAAAATCTGAAAATTTTCCTCATTTCACCCATAACTCTTTCTCTCTTCTCTCCACCGCCGCCGCCGCCACCGGAATCACCCACCGGCGGCGGGCCACCTCCAAATTAACACCATATAATCTCCACAACCTCCTCTTCCCATATCTCCAAACCAATTCCTTCAAAAAACCCTCAAACTCATTGAATTTTAGATCTAAGAAACTTTAGCCGCCACTTTTTGGTCCAAATTCTTGAAGCTCCGGCCAACACCACCCTACAACACATACATGAATGGATAGAGCTCCACGAGACCTATCTTTTCCTACCCATTTTACCCCCAAAATCCCCGTCGCCGCCACGGCTCCACCGCCTCACCACCGCCAAAATACCCCGAACCCCCATTTTAGCTATTTTTCGGCTTCAAGCATACTTGTTAGGTATAATCGTCATCTCTTTAATTAATTTCTGATTTTTTTTTATTTAGTAGATTAGTTTCTGATTTTTTTTATATATTTATTTATTTTTTTTTCTGTTTTGGTTATTTCTTGTTAATTAGAGTTTCAAGTTAGGTTTATTTAATTAGCTATCTCTATTTAGTTTAGTGGTTTGTTAGATTCGTTATTGATTTAAATATAATTTTTAGTGTATTAATTAAATCGTTCACTTAGTTAGTCGATTATTTAGTTGTTGTTAGTCGTTGTTCGATTATTAACGATGCTCATTCTGTTTTGAGAATTAGTTTGTGAATTTAGTTATTTATTTAGTAATTAGTTTGCACAAATCCAATTCATTCCCATCAAGTTGGTTTTAATACTTAGTTCAATTACGTTTTTAGTCTCGTCTATGCTTTGTCAGTTCATAGTTGTCCAAGTTTGATTTGTGTTGAGCAAGTAGTTTGTTGTTGATGTTTAAAATCTGAAGTTTAGTTTGTTTTATCACAAAATAGGGTAATAGTAGCTTACTTTTACTACTAGGGTGGCTGAAAGGATATTTTTTCTCCTTGCTTCTGACACAGCAGATTTTCAGGTTGTCCTTTCACCTTTGGGACAGACCTTGAACAGTGTTTAGCACACAAAATTAATTTTTTGGACAGATTTTTGGTGAACCAAAATCTGTCCAAAAATTTAACTTTATTTGCCTATTGAAAGGACTATTTTTCTCCTATAAAAGAGACTGTCTGACACTTAGAAAAAAGAGTTCCTTACTCACTGAAAAGGGGGACACTCTATCTTATACTTAAACACATCTTGGAGAGTTGCAAAAAAGAGATAGATCTTTGAGAAAAATCAGCAGCTTAATACATATAACAAGCTGAAATTTCAGTATTTTGTGAGGTTTATTTGAGTGCAAAAAATCTTGAGAAAAATAGAAAGATCCCTTAGGCAATTTGTGAAGTTGATAGCTACCAGTTTCAAGCATTTTTGTTGAGTTTTCTGGGTTGTCTTAACACTTGAGTTGCTGCTGTTTCTACTGTATTTGCTGCTGAGTTTTTTTGTTGCTGCACTACTGTATTTTATTATTCTACAAATCAGGTAACTTTCAAATTCTCATATTGCAGATTCTTGATGATAATAAGAAGGATTTGATCCCGGTTTGGTTGATGGAACATATTGGATCTGATTTTTGTTTCAAGATGAATGTTATATTAGTATTATCATTATGTAAATCTGTTAAAGATTAGTTAAATTATCGTTTTCTTCTTTATATATGTAATTGAAATTGCATTTTATTAAGATTACTTAGTTTAAAAAAAAGATAAAGACCCCACTTTTAATCATGTTTGTTTAGTTTGGGCTCTTTTTCGTGAGTTACTTTCATGGTTCATGTATAATTATCGAAGAAAGACTTCTAACTTTAAATATTTTGATGCTTTAAATTATAGTCAACATAATGTTATACTTAATATAGTTCTTCTCTTTANGCTACGCGGGTCTGATTCTCACCGAATATGAGGTACGTAGGCAAACCTCATCGGTTCCGGCCACAATTAAAAATAAAAAATAAAAATAAAATAAAAAAATAGGCCCCCTTTCCTTGATTCCCTCTCTAGAATTCTTTGTTTAGAAAATCCAAAAAAAAATATTAAATCCAAAAATATTTTTCTTCTTTTCCAAAACCTTTCATTCGAAAAAAAAAAAGAACAAAAAGAATCTTCAAATCAAAATCCAAAATATTTTCTTCCTTCTTTAGAATTCCTTTTTTTTTTAAAAAAAAAAAAAATTCAAAATTCCATAAAAAGAAAAAAAAAACTAAAAAAAATATATTTAAAAGTCTTTATAAATAAAAAAAAGAAAAGAAAATGAAAAATGGGCCAGTCTATTCCCAATCTTCCTGAACTACGTAATGATCTGATTCATGCGGCGACATGATACGTAGGCAACCCAAAAAAGGTTCGATCAAAATATTTTTCAATGATTCTAAGATGAGAGATCAAAATGAGGTGTAAGTTTAAAAAAAAAAAAAAAAAAAAAAAAAGAGAGAGAGAAGAAAATAAGAGCGTCAATAAGAAGCAACCTCATAAGCCGGAATGAAACATGAAGCCTCTAAAAGCATGCTAGAAATAGTGACAATGATTGGAGCATGGCACATTATGTGTGATTCTTATCTATAAATTGCTTAACCCTAACACGTTTGTTGTGTCTTATGTAGTAAGCTTAAGGTGGTTGGTTTGTGGTGAAACTGACAACACACCATTACTTCACTAGATCTAAGAGAGTAGTAGTAATGACCAATGATGATGAGATCGAGCTGATCACTGACGACCCCCAGGGTCAATCAGTTGAACAAGAGTCGGAGGAAATAAGAAAATTGAGACAGCAATTGTCTGATGTATATCAAGCTTGGGTGTCTGGTCAGCCTCCACCCCGTGGTCACTCAGAGGGAACTTCCACCATACCCCTAGCTACTCAACCACCGCTCCATACAACGAGCGACCACATCCTACCACCAAGGTATGTGCCAAATTACAGCCTCCACGTTGCTCCGGGTACCTCTAATGTGCGACCTCCAGTCGTACCGGTCAGGAACACTCCTCCAGTCGTGTCTGGCGCACCGGCATACACAATCCCGCCTCCACCTCCTGTGACGAGGCCAATCAACGAGCCACCATCTCATGCTTATGATGGCCAATACTACTCTCCAAATATAGCTTTCGGGGTCTCGGCTCTATATAATCAGACTCCTCAGTACGAGTCACCAGTGGAAAACGAAAAGCTTGTCAAGATGGTTGAGCCGGATGAGATGACCAGGAAAATGAAAAGTCTTGAACAAAACATAAAGAACATACAGGGACTAGGAGGTCACAAAAGTGTTTCATTCAGTGATCTATGCATGTTCCCTCACATCCATTTGCCACGAGGGTTTAAGACCCCAAAATTTGAGAAGTATGATGGACACGGTGACCATATTGCCCATTTGAAAAGGTACTGCAACTAGCTGAGGGGTGCAGGTGGAAAAGAAGAATTACTGATGGCTTATTTGGGGAAAGTCTTGTGGGGGTAGCCTCCGAATGGTTCATTGACCAAGATATCTCTCACTGGCATGTCTGGGATGACATGGCCCAAGCCTTCATCAAACAATTTCAATATAACATAGATATTGCGCCGGATCGCAATTCCCTGTCCAATATGAAGAAAAAGCCGACTGAAAGCTTTAGGGAGTATGCAATCAAGTGGAGGGAGCAAGCAGCTAGAGTTAAGCCATCCATGGATAACCACGAGTTGATCACTGTTTTTCTAGAGGCCCAAGAGCCTGATTACTTTCAGAACATGATGTCCGCAATGGGTAGACCTTTTGCGGAAGCGATCAAAATAGGAGAANGAGTAGACCTTTTGCGGAAGTGATCAAAATAGGAGAGATGGTCGAAAATAGCCTCAAGACTAGTAGAATTGTAAGTCAAGCTGCTCTCAAAGACACCACCCAAGCTATCCAAAATGGGTCGGGAAGTTTGGCAAATAGAGAGAAGAGAGATGAAGGGTCCATGATGACTTCGGGATCTAGGGAAGTTCAAAGAGGGGCATCGCACCCTTATGTGCAAGTTCAG